ATCGATACCAGGCCCGGGCACATGGTCAATGATGCATTGATCCCCTAGAGCTCCAATGCTTAGTCCACTGGTTGCCTGGTAGTGAGGGCATGTGGTAACAGCACACAATGAACACATAAACACTTTGGTGCTGCCGGCTGTTAGGACTCGGCTAAGGCTTTTCCCACGTTTTTAGAGAATGACACATTGCCTTTGGGGCTTTCCACAAAAATGAGTTATAACTCAATTCAAAACTAAATGGTCTAAAATTACTGAGCGAACAACTGAGGGAATTATATCACTGCACTGTCTACTTCTGTGGGTTATTCCACAAGTTTCTCAGTCTCCTTCTTATATATCGGAGTCACAGGGAGAAGAATCGATATCAGTTCCGCGTTTAACAAAAACTTGGAAAAATCCAGTCAATAATTTCACCAGCACTCCCCTGACCACCATTTGACCCTCAGGCAAGAAACAATTAAACAATTATTTTCTTAACACTGAATATTGTTTTAAACGCCACTGAATACGAGGTTGTTGTCTCTGTCGGATGTCCATATCATCACAGATGGCCTTTGCAGAAGTAAACAATGGACTATTTCAGGAAAGACAACACTTTTAGCCTCAGGGCACTAAACAAGAACAGGACACTGTGGAAAAAAAGACAAAGGAACACAAAATACACGCAAGTCACCAAACATCACTAAATCCAGGCTGAAAAACCCCAAAAAACAAAACCATGAAAAATTTAAAAATCTTATTTCTTAAGCAAACGATACACATCTTTCAAAACAGAAGGATTTCCTAAATCACGTGCTGGAACATTTCCAAAAAAGGACTCTGGTCTCTACGGGAACCCGGATATGGGGTGAGAGTGGCCTTTGTCTGCAGAGGACTGTTTGGCATCTCCACTTAGCTCGAGTTCCTGTTCGAAAACAAAGGGGAGCAGAGCAGAGCACTTTACAACGGGGGGGACAGCTTGGCCAGCCATTTGTCTAATGAGCAATCACTCACACCCTGTTGCAAGGCCATATGCTAGTTTGAATACAGCTAGTTCCCCCGTGTGGAAAGCCTAAAAGCTGTTTTATCACTTACTGATGATTCTTGTGTGTGGCGTGCACACACAAATATCACGCACTTGGCGAAAGTTCAACAAAATGAAAAAGAAAAATAGCAAAAAAACCAAACCAAAAAACAACAGTGTAACCTACTTTGTGTTACAGGCTGGGGTTTCAGTGCAATGCAAAGATCAAAACAAAGCCTTGAGGATAAAGCATGTGAACGTTTGTGTTTTTGTGGAAGCCGCAGATAAAAGAGATAACGGCATACTGTATATTTGAGGCCCCACTGCAAAACAAGTTGATGTAAGTAAACCAAAAGCATGTTAGCAATACTGAATGTATCAGAGAAATTAAAAGATTATTCCAGTTTGTTTGGATCTCAGTGGATCGCGATTTTGTCTTTAAATACTGAACTGTAAAGGAGGAGCTAAAGCTCGCCTTTCATTCCAGGGTAGATAAGAACTAGATTAATGTTTGTGGTGAGATTGTTGAAAATGAGCTTTTAATTCCACCACATTTCCTTATTTAAAAAAAAAAAAAATCCTCAAGTGAAAGCTCAAATCAGACCTCAGATGGCATCACATAATAACTATAAGGATCGAGCAAACATCACAGAGATTATTGGAAGCAGAAACTTAACTAGAAAATTAAACTAGCTTTAAACACACCTTACATTTTGATTAAACTAACTGAAAGTTTAAAAACCAGACTTCAGGGAAAGAAACTCCGAAATAATAGAGAAGCAGAAGAAGACTATTTCATTTTAGATCATTGTGCATGTATCCATCATTAAAGGTTTATACATTAAATGTCTTTAGACGTCGTCAGTTTTATCAGATTTGTTAAGACAATTATGAGGTGGTACTAGTTTAGGTCCAGAGTGTCTACATGCCTGTGAGTCAGCTGCTGCTACTGTATGTGCATGGGTTGGTATATTGGTTTATACATGCATACTTTACAGCATACAGGAAGACAAGGATTGTTGTTATTGCTGAAATTATTGTTACTATTAGCATTTATTGTCAAAGGAGCTTGCAAAGAAAAGCGTCTGGACTTCTTTAAGTTACTTGAAGACGTTTCACCTCTCATCTGAGAAGCTTCTTCAGTTCTAAGGTCAAATGGTGGGGAGTCCCAGATATAAGCCTAGTGGGAGTGACCCCCCACAGAGGGACAAAAGGACCCCCTGATGATCCTCTAATCGCCTGAGCCAAGGTGTGAAACTGGGTGTGGGTCCCAATCAGCCAGAGTTTTGGGTGAGTTCATTGTGAAACCTGGCCTCCAGCATTTGACCTTAGAACTGAAGAAGCTTCTCGGATGAGAGGTGAAATGTCTTCAAGCAACTTAAAGAAGTCCAGATGCTTTTCTTTGCAAGCTACTTTGACTACGATGACGTGGATGACTGAGAACCTTCACAGACATTAGCATTTATTTTGTCCCATCTTTTATTTGATCACTGGGGGAACATGATTGAACTCACTCAAACAGCAGATCATCGCATGATTTGCATTACACTCATTTTTCTATCCCCACAATCCCCCTTTTCCATTCATTGTTTTCCTATTTGCGCTGTTCTTTTGAGTCTTTTATATCCTTGTCCTGGATTTGTCTCATTCAATTGCTGTCCTGCGGTAAAAGTAAAACTAAAGTTTAAAAAAAAAACTGAAAAGAAACTCAAATATAAAGCTGGTTCAAGGTAAAACTGAAAGTGACCCCACCCAACAATGTTGAAATAAAAATAAAAAATAAAAGAGGAAGACATGTTTATAAGTGAAACCAGGAAGCCAGTCTAGACTGGATGTTTAAATCTTATATCCTGGCTTATATTTTTTCCTCCTTTAAGTTTATTTATTAATGTGAATGTTTGTTTCTTAGATCAATCAAACCAGCAGTTCCTCCACTATAAGGGAGTGACTCGAATGAGTGACAAAACGTTGCTCCCACTGAAAACAACGCCCAGATGAACAAAATCCACTTTCCTGTATTTCCTTAGCTGAACAACTGAGCATGCATCAAGGTGTGACTCCTCATATATAAAAGCTGAACTCTTCATATATGATTCTAAATCAAATTTAGGTCTTAAATCTTTGCAAATGAACCTCAGCTGTAACGGTCGAATCCGAATTCACATGACTCATCAGAGCAGAGTGCAGCAGAGCATCTCGTGGGCTAAAGCGGTCCTTTATATGCTCAATTTTACATAACATTATTTCCATCAAGCAGATTCACCATCCCACCCCTCTTTGCTGCAACTCCATATCCACACAAAGGTCTGTATACAGGTAGCAGCTACTGTGCCACAAAAAAGCCGATGTTAAAATCCTCTTCCTTATGAAAATCAAATTAGAGAACATATTTTCTGGCACCTACGGCACAGAAGACTTACAAATGAAACCGTTACTGCTGGTTTCTATTTTGTTTATTCTTGTTTACATCTATAAAATAACATTTTAATAGTTTTTGCTGCACATACATGTCAGTTTAGAGTTCACTCTGAAATCTGTTACTCGTATTGTCCAGATTGGACTGTAGTCAAACCTAAACTTTTGCTTGTGTTAAGTGAATGTGTTAACCACTACACTACAGAGCCACTATCACTCAAACCATTTTATACTATTAGTTAAAAAGCACCAGATTTGCTGTTATCATCTCCTGAATAACACATCCTTGCCACTTACAAAAAACCTCTGCATCAGTGTTGGTATAACAGCAGAAGAAGTCGAAAGAGGAAGCAAAGCGATCAGAGATTTCTTCAAAGTTTTCTCCCAAGTGTTTGATCTTTTCAAGCTGCTGCATGGTGGTAAAGACCAATACAATCACACCCTTCCATCTTCAACCCAACCATGCCGGCTGCACATCAGCTCACAAAAAAAAAAAAAAAGTCAAACAGCTATGGTGCCACTTTTGGCACATGCCGCCATCCGCAAGGGCAATAATACGAAAACCATAAAAGGACCGTTAGATTTGCAGTCCGATCATAGCCATAGAGAAGTTCAAAGGTGGTAATGATCTTGCAACCAAAGATAGCTTGGGAAAATTCCAAGATGGTCATGGCATGGAAAGAAAGAAAGAGCAGGAGTTGCAACTGTGCGTGTCATAGCCTCCAGTTCAGCAGCCATTATCACTGCACAGTCTACATCCAACAAACCTGATGTCATTGCCAGGTTTATTAGATTCATGCACAGTGTGGCTTGACCGTAAGGCGCCTGAAGGGCACCCAACAAGTGACAGCTTGAGCATTAACACACACGTTGCAATAAACTAAAATGAAAAGTTTAAAATCAATACTTATGTAACTGAAAACAGCTCGACTTTGCTCATGATCTTACATGTCACTTGCATATGTAGCACATATTATTTGCTTCACTGGATGCTTTTTATGCTTCCATGTATGACTGACTGCAGCTGATGTGTCTGGGTCTAACATCCCCTTTAACCTTTCAATCCATACGTGTCTGCTGCTCTGCTGTGTCTGGAATACTAATGCTACAAATGCCAATGCAAATCAGGGACTAACAAAGACCAGTGCAAGACTGCTATGATAGCAAAGGGACAAAAGCACGTCTGCCTCTTTGCAGGACCGGCTTCACACTCACACACACACACACACACACACACACACACACACACACACACACACACACACACACACACACACACACACACACACACACACACTCTTGCTCTAGCACTGTGCCTCCTGTCGGCGATAACAATGGTTTTGCGCCTGTGCTGTCAGCATCTTACTGAAAAGAGTCTGTCAACAACCTCTTTATGCAGCGCCTCTCAAACAATTTTAAGTGTGTTGAAGTGGAATTATTGTTGGATTTGCTAGAAATTATTCATGAAAACACCCCCACGTTCCAGACATATACTGAGGAAAATGTAAAGGAAACACATAAATATAAGGTGAAAATGAAAAACTGCGCGTGTGCCGCTTTAGCAGATAAAACACTACCATACCATGTGTATCTGCTTGTTCCTCGTCTTCGTTCAGGTGAAGCTGATGACTTCTCTCGCTTTTCTCTCCTCTCCTGTTTTCATGGGCTGTTGGAGAGAAGCACAGCAGAAGGAGCACAGGTCAAGACTGAGGTAATGAGATGAATGAACAGTGAAGCAGCGGCGAAGAGAAAGAAAAGTGGTACATTTGTCTTGGTGCACGTAAGTCATCTGAGCAGAGTAAGAGCGAGAGCTTGGAAGAAAAAAAAACAAAAAAAACATAAAAAACACAGAAAATAAAATTCTAGGACACTTAAAATGACCGAGTTTGCATTTATTATGTATGAAGCGCTCGCTCCCCGCAGTGCTCCAATCTAGGACTGTAACAGTGTTTTCTCTGTGTGAATTTTTCCACTTCTCTGCTGGAAGGCAAAATTAAACAGGGACAGAACAGGAAAATGCACTGCCTTTAGTCGCAGCAACCCAGACCAAAGTTCTGGGCAGGTAAAATTTTAATATCTGCCTCGAGGTATTAGAAACAGTGTATCTTCTCACTAATTAACTATCCTTTATTAGAAAACCCAACACACCACAATCTCCTCATGCAGTTTGCGACTTGACCTTGATGAGCATCTGAACTCATGCATTATTCACTGGAAGTAGAATACCTTGCTTTCTTACCGCACGTTGCTGGCTTTAACTGTCAGTGTAAGATACGTCTCCAGCCGAGTGTGTCTAATGAGCATAAATGCTTTAAACTTTTTCCTGTTTCTAAACTGCTTTGCCACAACTGTCTCCCAGCTGAAAATAACGATATCGCAATGAGAGCCAATTAAATTGGTGGTATTTCAGCCTCCATGTACAAAAATAGTCAGCAGCACAGTTTTGACTGACAATACTTTGGAGCCAGTTTCAAAGCACTGGCACTGACAACTACCGCATCAAATATGGAGAGAGCTGCCTACGAAGACATGAACGGCAAGCGGCTGTTGCCACATTAGATGGTGAAATACAGGCAGGGTATTCTCATTCTGACAGAGGCTCGGGGATGGAGAATATCCCAAGAGTATTCTGGCTGATAGAGCCAGCCACATCATCCCGCAGACACACCATATTGCCAGCAGACATCAGATTCACCAGGACACAAAACCCAACTGACGTTGCCAGCTCCATATAGAATAGAAGGCGCTGATTGCATCTGGAAAAGGCAATCAAAGGCTGACTGAGGAGAGTGGACAAATCTGAGAAGTGGGGAGATGCACTGGAATGATACACTCCCTTATCTAAGCACCCTGAACTCAGACAATACAAGGTACACGTGCTCAGGAAATCATTAACATCCTTACAGTGGATACGCATGCATGGGCAGCCTTGTTGAGTGAGTCTTATAGAAAATATTCACCATATGGTTTAGCTCAGAGATCCCCAGGTAATGCAACACTGTAATCCTTTTCAGTTTTGCAGCAGATTATAACAAACAGCAGCATATATGTAAGTAACTCTCGTCATTACGGTTTGTAATCAGGTACAGAGCGGTCAGATTTTACCATGAAGCCTGTTGCAGTGGCAGTCTCTTTTGAACCCCTGTTTAGAGAGCTATTAGCCGGTGAAGAGCAACAGTGTTGAGGGTCTGCATTATTTTTTGGTTTCCATGGAAACCCTTCCATGGGAAAGTGGAGCACCAATAGGATCGCAGAGCCTCAATGAATCGCTTATGGGGGGGGGTGCGAAGAGAGATCAGCGCAGGCGGCTGAGAAAGCACAACAATAGGACGAAACCTCGAGGGGAGGACTAGAAAGGCCAGGCCACTGAGGGTCCAACAAAGAGAACGAGTCAACACTAGAGAAAAGGTTTCATCTACATCCGCTCGATGACTTTCCTTTTAAAGGAAATCTCCCTTGCCAATTTGTCACTGACATTTAAGCGCCGAAGCACTGTGGGCAGTTTAAACATCAAGGCAGCCACTAATTGATTAGTCTGTGCTGTTATTTCAGGCTCTGACAATATTATTGCATCATCAACATCTATCTTGTGTGCAAGCCATCAGCACATGATAAATCACGTGCTTCAATACCACTCACAATAGAGATAGCAGGGGAAACTGTAGTATCATAATGCAGTAAGAATATACTCCTTATATAAACACTGCCCTCACCTTTCCAGGCATTTCTCATTCTTGAATAATACAGTCTAATATCCATGGTCATTCTGAGTGTCAGTGCTTACGCAGATAGCCGCTGAAAGGGCTGAAAGGGAATTAGAACAAATTCATTTTGGTTGAAGCACCAGTACTTAGTGAGTACTTATGAACTATGGATATCAAGCTTCTATTCCCTCCTTTTTTTGTTTTTTTTAAAACAAAATTGATGATTTTTGTGTGCATAAGAACAAATGCCTTCAATAAAAATGCTCAAAAGCCTCCGTATGTTACTGCCATTTGTCAGCTTCTCTGTCTCTTGCATCATCTGTGATGCCAGATTGATTCTTTTAAACATGCAGAAACCTCAAGAACTGAACAATGAACCCACCACAAAGTGCCAAAATCTGCAGTTCCTCTAATCGGCACTTGAGGCCAATTTCAAAAGTGAGTCAAACCAGATGGAGTCCGCTGTTAAAATGCATCACTTTATAGAAGAAAAAGACACATCTATAGCTTTGTACAAAGAAGCTTTTGGTCTCTATAACTAATACCCACCTTCATAAGAACTGTAAGGTGAGTTCATCTTTTCAATAACTCATCAAGTTGAAGCACAGCTCCCCCAGAAACTGCTGCTGCTGAATGAAACTCTCTTTGAAAGCATCCTCACAAACAGCATCAAGGTGCGGTGCAGAAGCTGCACAGCTGCTGAGCAGAAGGACCTACACTGTTGGTGAAGACTGCCTAGCATGTGGTAGGGTTGGAGCTATGACACCACAGAGATGTCTACACTAACCGTCTGAAGAAGGCAAAAGCCTCAATTCAGACACTTTCCTCTCCGGTCAGCCTCGATTTGAACTTCAGCCATCAGGCAAACAGATAGACAAACAAATTAATACAGTCCCACACAAGCTGAGCTTCCCCCGAGCTATGGCCTTCATCACCCCCCCCCATACACTAGAACAACATGCACTGACAATAACTTTCAGGACTATCTTTGCATCCCTATATAACCACTCCATCTTGAATAATAATCTATTTATGTTAATTTTTCCCGGTGAACATAGGAGAGATGGCAGTCTAAACATCGGTATACTTGTATAACAACAATAAAGTATTTTCGATTCCATTCAAACTTCACTAATGCTAAATGTTTGAGTTATTAGGGCCTGACAGCTTTGAGTGGCACTGACAGCTGTAGCTGCTAGCTGCCTGCGAGGCTTCACCACAGCTGAGTCACTGAACACAATCGACCACATTGATTTTTAATAATCTAACATTACACGCATGACTTTCTGTGCTCATCCAAGACACGTTGATTTAATAACATTTTAAGCACAGGCCAATTTGCATGTTAGGCAGGAAACCTTTTGTGACATGTCAGAAGTCAGAGCACAGCACCCAGTTTGAGCTGTGGCACTTCCTCTGAGGAAAGGAAGTGGAAAGGACAACAGTACAGGAATAGACAGTATTTCCATCTACACATTATAATTGGGTTTAACCTCAACTTCTCACTAATGATGACAAAGAGTAAACCCCTGAGCTTTACAAGGAACTCCAAATTTGGAGATAATAACCTAAGGGGCGGTTTACGGCTTAAATCCAACTTTCATAAAGACACTTAATCAAAGGAAAAATCTACAGCTCTGGATGTCATTCCTCCCTGGTGATCTTTCGCCATATACATCAAGCTCTAATATTACAGAAATGAGAAGGAGGCCACTTGCCGGCAGCTATACATCTCCTAAGCGTCCTCTTTAATGAGGGCAATGCTGAGGCAGAATTATCGCCTTACTCCATCTGGATTTATTGATCTAACAGTGCAAGTCAACTACCAGAGACAAAGATAAACCAGCACGATGGAGAAACAATCCCTGCACTGATCAGAGGGCATCCAACAGCTAATCACTCACCCTTTCCTCTCTGGCCACAGCAAACCCAATTCTTCTTTGTTCCTCACGCTACAGTAGGTGCTCCGGGGAGGTTACACGCGGGGCAAGAGCGTATTCATGCATTTGGGGTGCATTATTTTTCCAGCTAAAAGATGCAGACTGAACTCATTAAGCAAGCCTTGTGTTTTCTCAGTGTTAATCGCTTTGAGCTAAATGGGAACCTGATGAGAATGCAGCTCTTGGAAGTGTGTTTGGAGGGTGCTATTTTGATGTGGATGAAAGATGACACTGTGTCCAACCTCTGTGGCAAACATTAGCCAGGGCTCGTCTCTATTCGCCAGGTTTTTTCCGGCAGGAGCTTGTACCTCTCACGTCTGCAAAGAACAGCGAGACGTGTCTTACACAGAGCCTTTCAGGTGTGCGACTTGCTTCTCTAAAAACACAACAGCAATTTCTCTCTTGTGACAAAGTGATGAAAAAAAAGCAGTTGAACTACTTGTTATTTTCTTTAACCCATGCTTGTCTGACTTAACCAGCTGCCTTGTGCACCACCACACTTTCACCCTACTTCCCAGGCCCCCAAGTCTAGCCCTCTCCTTATCTCCGAGGAGCCAGGGGTCTGGGGAGGGGGCATCAAAATACCGCTTTGAAGTCAAGCGATTAAAGAGGAAACCTGTCGAATTGGGATGATGGGGCTAAGGTTGGGAGAGGAGGAGGATCAGTAAGAGGGACAGGAAAGGCTGTGAATACTGAGAGCTCGGGACCCATGGGACACAATTAAGAGGAAGGTTTTTTTAGTGAGGGTTACAAAAACACGGAAAGGATAGCAGCAGTGCACCCTTCCAAGCCAAGGTAAGAGTTCATTACTAGATACACAAAGGGGGAGGGGGCTGAGGCTGCTAAATCCAGTTTGTTCACCGCCAGAGGTGCGAGCTGTCGAACAGCCACAGGATAATCATTTTCCAACCCACAGAAATCCCTCAGTCAGTAAGTCTTGAGAACTGTGCAGAAGTGAGCTCAGGGAGCTTCAAATCTAAGAGGAATTTGGAAGAAAATCCAAGCTGCATGCACAGAGAGGA